AAAAGTCGGCGTCGCTACTGAACAGAATACGTGACAGCCCCAACAGCCTCCTGAAGACTGTTGCGGAGAGATGTGAGTGCCCAATTATGCGGCACTTAATAAATAGTACTAGGTCAATAGTAGAGTATAAGTACTAACATAGTTTTAAGTCTGTACTAACACTTTATGGATCACAGTTGTCTTAAATAAAGAATTTATTATTATTATTATTATTATTATTATTTACTACAGTTTTCAATGTCACGAAACTGACTAATAAAATTAATTCAATTAAGCTTTGAGGAATAGACACCTACTCAATAATGAGGAGTAGCTAAAGTCAAATTTATACATATGTATATTATACTACCTAAAGGTGGTGACGCCAGTGACCGACAAGCATCAATGTTTGCCATCTTTTTTTAACCAACTTCAAAAAAGGGAGTTCTCAATTCGACGGAATGTTTTTTTTGTATGTATGTTACGCGATAACTCATTTTCATGATTCTTTTATTGTTGGAAAAAGGGTACCTCCATAGTGGTTCCATTTAATTTTGAAGAAAATCATCCACCTCTAGAGGTAGCTGTTCACGCATGAACATTCATTTTTATAAATAGCTATTATAATATTATCATTTTTATAAGGAGCTATTATTTTAATGGTTGATTTTGCTTTTCTCTAATTCAAGGCGTTTTTCTCTCAATTGAGAAAAACGCGAGTATAGTATGAGTAGTGAAAACTGATTTTTATTGTCGCCAGTGTCAAGTCCTGTATAGTGGCGAACTAGGGGATGAATCCGGGTTTGCGCACTTTCCGGTAACCGATTCAAAAAAACTTGGCTGGAACTGGTACTGAGATTACTAAATTCATTGAATAAGATTTAGACCAAAATGTTCTATCATAGTAACACGTTTTTATTGGTAAGGTCTACTAGTATTTATGTGGTCTGTGGTAAGGTCAATTACTGGATGTTCATTATTGGTGAGTGTCGATTACTATGTCGATTACTTAGTCAATTAGCGGATTTTTGATTACTTGGAGATTTAGAGAAATTCTAGTTTTTAGTACTAATTATAACAGCCTTTTTATGAAACATATTACAGCATAATCTTTCTTGAGGATTATATCTGTCAAGTCAATCACTATGGTATAATGTTTAAAAACGAATAAAGTTATTTCAAATTTAAAGGCACACTTCCCTTGAAATGTCGATTATTGGTACCATCACCCTATACGTATAGTTTGACTTCAAATACGTATGTAAACAAACAGATACACTTTAGTCGTTTGAACCGGTTATGATCCTTTTCCAATCTTACAGTTAAATAAAAATAAGTAAGTCTGGCGAATTGCACTGTTGGTTTTTACGTGACAAAGCCTGTTGCTGAGTTATACCATATCTAAAATAGGCAAAATAGGCGCCTTGTCGTCGAGTTGCGGACACCAGCCCGTTACACCAAGTACCAAGTACCAAGTATACCATATCTACGTTATGGATTGACATTTGTAATTAATTTAGTTTTTTAATTCCACGTTGACTTTGACTTTGAAAGTGAAAAGAAAACTATTCTTTAGTCGTTTGATACGATTTTGACCACATCATACTCAATCACGAATCTCTTCCAACTAGAGGATTTATAACATAGTCCACCACACTCGTTCAATTTTGATAATGTTTTCCAGCATGCATGTTTCACTGCAATGTTTCAATTGCCGTAGAACAAGTCAATAGCTCAAATTTTACAGTCATGATAAAATCAATATAACAATATATTTTGAAATGATAATACAATGTAAACATTGACCAGTGAAATAACAAAAAATGAGGAAATGGTCAAAGTTTGTTATGTCAAAACGGGAACACATAGAGGCGTCGGTGTAGTGTCATTCGACAGGTTCCTTCCTTTCTTTTTTCTACTTTGCTGTGGGTCCTTGATACTTATACTATGTAATTCTTTTATACAATTGTGAAATGCAAATAAAGAAACATCATCATCCTATTTAAGAGCCAGGCTCTTGTCGGTGTACTCGATGTAGCCTCCTCCACCCTAAACGGTTTACAGCCAGCTTCTTGACCTCTTTAAAGCTGCTCACTTAAAATCTTCTTCTTTATTTGTTTACTATACGCCATTCTTGGTCTTCCCCTTTCTTTTCCCTTCTATCTTCCCTTCAATTATCACTCTCTCAATTCGTCATTACGTAACAAATGTCAAAACATTTTCCCCTCCGTCTAAATAAACAATATTGGATATTAAATATATTGATTCACCAACTCAGTACCAAATTTTTAAATACGTGTACATTTCAAACAGATTGAATGAGGCCAGAATGGAAAAGACGCGATGTATGTTTTGGGGCACATACTTGCCCTAATCTGCATTCGGCTCTTTCGTGATAACATGGGTTGTTTAATAGGAATAACCTTGATGTAAATCAATGGTGTAATTTAAACGACTTTAGTGATCGAAATGAGATTGTACGAGACACTCTGCATGGTTGTTAGTAACTCTTGTATTCTCGTTGAAGTTGAACATTTATATATATTTCAAACACAAAACTTGCAATATCTTCGCCATGACTTGCGATAATTAAAAATTTTATTATAATAAAATCTTATTAATTTTTTTAAAATTAAAATTTTTGCGCAACTCATAATGCGTGACCCTTAAGCACAAATACGCGTGTGTTTTAGTTATGTACATAGTTGTTTATGCATGTGTGCCATCCCCGGGCTTCTGAGTAGTTAAGTATGTATTATGTAGACTGACGTATTACTTACTTCTATTATACTCATTGAAAGCGTAAAGATTATCCCATTATTGGCCTCCCGTTCCCAAGTGACCAACCTGTAATAGTCCGGACATTCTTGTTCGATTTTATTGAATTTGTCTCAGCGTCTCTACTCAAAAATACGCAATGCGTTAACACTAAATGGAGATGTTCTGACCATTTTCATGAGTGCCGCAGCCAGTTCACTAGCTCATGATCGTGTTTGCGATGCGCACCTGGGTTTAATTCCTGACAGTTTTTGTCACAATTCCAAAACACCTAAAACTATAAACTTCGACAAAATCGAGTAAATGCGTAAACTAAATGCGTAAACACGTACCAAATACAAATTAATTCGATTTTACTTTGATATTTATCCATCACCAGCAAGTGATAGTAACCTTTGTCAAAAACCGAGCAAATCTATAGGCACCTTTACACTCGTGTAAGCAGTACACAGCTCTTGATACCAACGTAACAATAATAATAATTATCCGTGTAGTCAACCGAGACCATGCGATCTGTGAAGGGTCCGAAAATTTGGGTTGTTTGAAAAAACAAATATACGCGATTTAAATCCTGAAAAATAGTTTCATTTCCTATGTGTAACAATCGCGAAAACCTAAGAACTCGAAATAATAATAATTATTGCTTTTTTTTTCAATTTTAACATTATGTGTCACGTTGTGCGTCTTTTCAGTATACAATATACGTTCCTAACAAGTACATACTTTAAAGAGGCGTTCAAAGTAAATAAGTAACTGTTTGTCCAATATTCCTTTATCAAAATGCGTGATGCGTAGACAGAGGCAGATAAAGTACCTATGTGGTAGTAAAATTTCTAGTCATGTTTTACTATATAAATAAGAAATCATAAAACATGCGCTGCGTAAGACGTAGTATCTAACTACATTCCAGATTCCAGATGAAAGACTAGTAAGAAACTGAATTAGATTGTTGAGTAGAAATGCATGATGATTTTGCCCGCTAAGCACTTAATGCAATGCCTGGGAAGATTTGGCTACACCAGTTTTTGTACTCTGTACATATCTATCTATAAAAGGCTGACTAGTTACCTTTGACATTGATATGACGAAAACAGACAGCGTAGTATTAATTTTTGATATCAATATTCGTTTCGACAATAGAAAAAATCAGTTATAAGTGCAATTTGTCAGACTAGAAGAAAATATACTCACAGCAGCGGTAGCCGTAGCGACATCAGTGTCCGTCAGCGTGATAGTATGCGCGGTGGCCATCGCTGGCGTCTCAGCTGAGGGAAGCGACACCGCCATGTCCAACTGCTCAGTTATAGTTTCCACCGTCGCCGTCATTATCTGCGTGACAGCGCAATGCTCATGTTAATATTATTGCTATTGAATTACGATGAAAGTAACGATTTATCTCTAATTGATTAGTATATATACATTTTTTAGTAAAAAGCATTTGTTTAAGTAATTTACACGGCCCCAAGAGCAACGGCAACGGAGGTATTTGTAAAATATGAACAACCTCGCAGGACTATATTTTAGAAACGTCATAAACAACAACTTTTGTTCCATGACTTATTACAAAACATTATAATTTTATCAAAAATGAACTATCAAGTTTTTTTTTGTACTATCTGACACTTTTTAGATCTGTATTTGGTAGTAACCCCGCTAATGCATTTTGCATCGTACTGGTTTTTACGCTAGCGCTTTCTTTTGTTAGTCATCACGAGTTATCACCGTTTAGAGCGTTACGTTTAAATATTTTATATTATTTTTGTATGAAAGTAAAATTTGATAAATTATTAAAGTCGTGTAACCAAAGTTGTTATTTATCGTATAAGTATCTTGCGAGGTTGTTAGAATTTTAAAAATAACCATGTATATTTACAATAATGAGCCCAGTCGCGCACAAACATTCATTCGAGTCAGTCAAACCTTAGATTGGTATTAAAAAAAAGAAAATACAGGTTTATATGAATATGGACCTCCTATTACTCATACGTATCAGGGTTGTTGCGAATATCAGAATCCGCGTCCGCGGATAATCTGTATACATTAAAATATCCGCGTCCGCATTAATCGGTGCTGATATTCATTGCTGATATTCATGACATGTCCTGCAAGACACACTGGAATAATTTACAAACTTTCCAGAAAAGCTGTAAGCCGAAAAAGCTAATCAACAGTTATTTTTAAAATATAACTTTGATAAAATTCCACAAAAATGAAGCTAGGCAGATTGATTGTTATCACGAAGATTAACTCTTTACAATACCAAAGAAAATCTAGAGCGATTTCATATACATAGATGCAGTAAGGATGCACATTTTATATACACAGGTAAAATCAGCATCCGCTGGATGTGTAAAAACCTGCATCAGCAACAACCCTAATAACAATAATAAAATACTGAAAAATGTAGTCCTGTATTAAATGATAGGGCTATTAGGCTTTATGATGACGACACGTTTAAATCATTCGATAGCCGAGGCAGAACCATCGGTGTTATAGTTTATGCATTTTTTTATGTTTTCTAAATGTTCTTACCTTATATATTTGTGTAGGAAATGATTCTTTTAACACAATCTACTAAGATATTTTTTATTTAGTGCTTTATACGTGTATATTCAAAACAAATCCTCTAGACCGTCTCACACTTCATGCATGGCCAGCGAATTCAACCAATTTATTTGTTCTAATAATTCAAAAATATTTTGGAGATTGCCATTTCACATGTTTCCTGACACGGTCCCTTAAGTCCTTTATAGTGCTTATTGTGCAATCTACATTAGTTGATTAATCGCAATATTAATTCTTTTACGAAGCGTATTTTCCATACTACATATTAATTTTTATTTTATAAACTCACAATAATGATAGCAGTATGATCAACTATTTTCATGACTGTAATTTGTTAAATACTAAATCTACAATGTATTTTGTTATTACCTTAAGTTTAAATACTAATTTATGCATAGGCTTCACTAAATGTACAGTAACAGAAATTTTAAGTTTATTAAGCATTGATTAGTTTCAGCAACAGCTAGTGAAGCCTGTGCATTAAAAGCTGTTTGGTACACTGTCGCTTTCAACAACGAATAAATATCACATTGAAAGCACGGGATAAGGTAGCTTTCACTTAGCACGACAAACGACAGTGTATGCAGCCGCAACGACACCAATAAAACAACAAACACACACTATAAAAAAAAATAAGTAGCTCAGAGGAGAAAGGAAGAAATAGATAGAGAACATACTTGCGTATCGCCTGACGATTTAGTCAGTGTGGCGTCCGAACCAACGTCGCTTATGAGTGACAGTTGCATGAAATGAACAAACTATACATCTATATATAGATACGTCGAGTCAACTAATGAACATTTAATGCTTTTCAAATGTCTGACTTGGCCGGCAGTCTTCTCGCAATGCTCAAACTAAAGTCCACGGATCGCAGGTAAACGGTTCAGAAACTCAACAGTAACAGACATATAGTACATAGATACGTAAGGGTATTAGGAGACTACTGTGCTATACCCAACAAACATGCAGGATTGTTTAGTTATTTCATTTAACATTTTTAATTAATCTAAACAACAGAGGAGTAAGGAAGCATAAATAGTGACGTATTTCCAAGTTATAATTATATTGGTAGGTTTACATAATACATGAAAATCTTAGAACTGTGTCCGTCGACATTAGTTGCAAATTGTGAATTAAGTAATTGTCATGTTCAGTTCCAACTCACAGATACTTCCAGCCAAATCAAACTAAGGGACAGCACATACAGACGAACATTCCGCTATACATACATGAGGCATATGTACTAATACGCCGCCTACGGAGGCCTTGTCTGCGTGCGCCACGGACATGAGAGCGTCGACAGAATTGGCTGGCGTACCACCGGACTTGCTTCGCTCGTCCTCCAACATCATCTTCTTGTTCTGATCGAAATACAGATCGCAATGCTGCTGAAACGCAATTCATAATGTACACAAATCAAACTAATGACATCAATGGCTTTGTTACTGTCCTTCAACGTATCCTGGACTCTTACCCTTATTTTAAAACCCATTTAAAAATATTGACTGCCAAAATAGTGTTTCTCCGGCTATTTAAGTAGCTTGGTCAACATTTACAAGATGAGTAGTTAGTAAATAGAAATGAGACCATGGTAGCTCAGCGGTATAGTGCCTACTAGGGATGCCGCAGACATCTGCGTCCGCATCCGCAGGTCATTCGCAAGTATTTTAATATCTGCATCCGACATACGCATAAATCGATGCAGTTTTTGCGGATGCTGAACATAAGTTTAAGTATATAAATTATGACGCCACTTTAAGTATTAAAAAATTAATATATTCCATCCAAGTATTTTCTAACAGAATTATGTAAAACTATTATATCTTTTAAATTTTGTATTAATAAACAGTCACACATCCGCATCTGCATCAGCATCTGCAGATTTCATGGTGAAAACATTCGCATCCGCGGCCGCATCTGCAGATGTCGTCATAACCCTTACTCCCTGGTGCCTACCCTGATTACTATGGGATAGCGTTCTATTCCAGGTACAATCAACTTAGAAATTTAACTTAAGTTATTAAAAGCATTTTTGATATCGACGTAAAGGCTTTCATTTCATGGCAGTAGTTATTATTTAGTCTGTGATCAGGTGATTGTGTGGCCGATATATATTTGTTTACCTCGGGAGCCGGCTTGGGTTTGTCGGGAACCAAGGCGCGCACTAACAGCACGGCCAGTTGATGCCACAGTGCCGCCCCTTCGCAATAAGAACAGGCGCCCTCCGCTAGACATGCCGCTGTTGACACACATTGTCATGTATGTCAACAGCGGTATGAAAAGTAAAATGATTCACATTTATAACAAGGAATTGTAAACTAAATTCTAACCGCAAGATCGTTCACGAGAATGAAACTGTGCTAATTTCAATACCGATCAATCTATACGCTAAATTTCATACAAATCTGTTGAGCTTTTTAGGCATAACGAGGAACAGATCCTGTCGTTGAAACTTTCTTATTTTTGTAATATTAATGGTACCTCCTCGTCCAATTCACAGCACAAAAGCATCATTTAACAGGCAATACGTAATTCCACTGCGCCTTTCATACAATTTGATATTATAATGATTTAGGCGGTTTGATAAATACTTGATTTTAAGGTTATAAAAATATAAATAAATTACTCGGAGTTTCGAGTATTCCGTTTTCCATCTGCAATCAGAACATCAACAATATCAAAATTGGTCGAATTATGGTACGAACTATTGCCGCATCCCTAAATTCACCAGATTTAGCCCCATCTGACTTTATTATTTGATTTGCATCAAATGAGGAAGTGATAGCTGAAACAGGGGCCTATTTTTCAGAGACGAAAAAGGTTGAAGAAGTTGCAGGAGTTGAAAAGAGATTACTAGAAATGTAAACGATAATTCAAAAATGTTCTTTTTCTTCTCAAAGTCATGTATTTCCCAAACCGCCCTCATAAAGTATAAAAATAATAATGAGAATTTTTGTATGGACAGTACAAAAAGTTGTTCATTTTGAAAGGTCATCCATTGTCATCCCTTATAGTTCGGCGCACTGTGTACTCACCCTGCATACACTCGCTATGTTCGTTGGTCATTGACTGATTAGATTTCAACATAAGTCGTAGAAGTCTTGTGGTTTCGCTGCTCACGTTTTGGATGTTGATTCTACGATGTTGCAGTTGCATCTAAAAATAAGTAACATTTGTATAACGTAATCCCTTAGTCCCCACCAAAAGGTAAAAAACCCAAAGTGCCAAATAGTATTTTAAAGAGAATGAGGTTCTTAAATTAATCTTAAGGTCGTATCAAGCCAAATAAAATATGTTGAATAAAAAACAAACGACGATATGACTTAATGTATGCCTCTCACCTACAGATTTATCTTGGTTCTCATTCTCGGTGCTAATAAATTAGCTTCAAAATTCCTTTACAACCACCACAATGTCGTGATACAGGTTCTCGTTGTGCTCGTTTAATGTGATTTACTATTAGCAACTCAGCACAACAAAGCATTTACTGTTAATTACGCAAAAAAATCATCATAAATAGAGTACTATGTGTGAGATAATAGTAGCCTCCTGTTAACATACGTGTTCAATTACCAAACAACACACAATTTAGGAAATAATTAATTACATATAAAATATCCTGTAAATAATTGACGATTCGCACACAACGCATATGCAGCGGGTAAGGCTGCCGTCACCATGGCGCTGAGGTCACATCCTGGCCAATATAGAGAAGCTCTTTGACTCTCAATCATAGCATCTTTACTCCTTTGTTGTTCTCTGATGATATGGACACGGCTCTTCGACTTTAGACGCCAATTACGTGGCATTTTCAGCTTCTTGGTACTTTGTGTTGTTTGACAATTACGTATCATAAATATACACCCTCAGTTTACGCGTATAAAATCGCTTTAATCACGTAGACCCTCATTTAAGAACTTGTAGTGTCTTTTATAAAACAAAGTCGAGTTTAGTAAATATACCTGCTTCAGTAGTACATCGAGCATCAGTATGCTGCATGTCAAGTTTTGTGGTTTCATGTATTCATCGTATTCTTTCAATTCCTTCTCCGTAACGTTCGTGGGCATTTCTGGCTTGCGCTCTACAGAAAGATAAGAAAAACGAAATATAAAGACGAGACGTAAGCGACACATCGTAGCTTTACTAACAGTACAGCCGAGAACAGTGAAACATAAGATCGAAAAAAAATCGATATTTCTTAAAATTTCACAAACACGTTATGATATCTTTATTGCAATTATTGAAGCTAGGGGAATTCAAAGAGACAAGTAAGAATTTCAAATAATGTCGTCAGTATACTGCGGACAGTTTTCAGAGTACTTCTAAAAAATATCATTGCACAGTATATAAAACACTAACCTGGAGCTCTAGTAATTTTATCAGGCAAATTAACAACACAATGGCTGAACAAATCAAAAAGTTGCGTTAAAGGTATCTTCACGTCGAGTAGAGATATTGTCTGAAACCAAAATTAATTAATATATCCAACATCATAAATTACAAAGCCAATGTCGTTTATTGTAATAATGTACGTGCAATGGATGTGGCGCCAATTCGTGTTATGTGCATTAGAGCTGTTGGATACATGCGTGATTGCGTTGCTGGCAGCTATAGGCTCATCAAACTCCGTAAGTAATCCTAATTAAAATATCTTTGGTGTCATATATACGGGGAGAAGCTTTCCGGTACGGGCTATTTGCTGACAACATTACACTTGTCAGTGAAAATCGTCTCAAGGTCCAAAGCAGATTGGTGAAGTGACACAGAAATTGGTTAATGTTTGCTTTGAAAATCAGCAGAACCAAAACATGTAAAACATGTTCATTATAATCTTAAATACTTGGGCTCACTCTTGCAGAGCGATGGGAAGATAGACCAAGGCGTGAAGCACTTTTTTAGCGCAGGATAGATGAAATGGTGACAGGTCACGGGAACGCCTTGCGACCCCCCGTATTAAAGTGAAGGGGAAAATATACAAGACCAAAACATACAGGGAAACAATAAAAGACGATTGCAAACAACGTTGACGCGAATATTAATATCAAAGTGTAGAATGGCCACACTGAATAAGATAGCAAATGGTTACACAAGGAAGTTTGAAAGGAAGTTTTGTCATGGTATGGACATATAATGCGGAGAGATGAAACAGTTTCACATAGCTCCAAATGTGTAGAATACGAATGAATACAGGAGTATAGATATCAGAAGAATGAAAGGTTAAAGCGTAGATGGATGGATTTTGTGAAAAATGCTACGTGTACGACGAAAGGTATGTGAATAGTACGTATGGTATATGAATAACAAGATGAAAGCTGGCAGGAAAGAATTGATAAAGAAAATATAATGTGTCGGCCTTAATTAACTGGAGAAGTTTATGATCCACTGTTGTACAGACGGCTGCACATCAAGCTACTCATTGACAGATATTGTTGCGTTGCATTGGAGGCGATATTCGGATAGAAGTGTATGGTTTGAGGTGCGCTTGACTGTACATCGTTTTTTTCCAGACAGAGAGGTGCCGGAGCTCATTAGAGAGGCCGGCTGGCTTACAAAGCTGCAATCTAACACTTCATGGTGACCGTGGCAATTCCCTGATTGTGTCTTATTTAGTATGTAGATACTCTATGTCGTAGGACTTAGGCTACTACTAGACGGACTGCGTGCGCGAAGTCGATAAGTACAACTGCATGCAGTCGACACTGACTCCAAGCAGATATAGCCGCGCACCACTTTTTCTGAAATTGGTGCTCAGCGTATTTATTGATGTCGAAATGGAAGTCACTTGTTTACTTTTTATTACGGAAATAAACTTATCACTATTTTGTCAGCAAACTCATGTCGGTAATTCCCGACTATACTCTGCGGTGGAATAACAAAAAACAATTTTTTAAGATTTGTGCAAATGATATGTATAAATCCGTGGACAAAACTTTTACCAATCGTGTTTTTGTTTTACCATTAAGATATCGTTACCTTTTGCCACTACTAGTTCAAGATCAAGAATCAAGAAAGATCTAAGATCAAGTTGTATAAGACACCAAAAAATTATTTTATATTCTCTTAAGAATGTCCAATTCTCGAACTATCGTTCACATCGACTGCAGCCTACGCCTTCACCTAAATTGTCGACTGCATGCAGTTGATCACGACTGCACGCATTAACTGCAGACTTGTAGTCCATCTGTTGGCAGCTATACTTATGCTATTGGAATTATGGATAAGTCATACCTGAAACCATTCTAATACTGGCATAACAGTATCGGGTGTCGGTTTAGTGGTAACTCTAGTCACAGCGAAATTATAAAGATTTTTTTCATCTATGCCCACCATTGTACCGTCAGGTTCTAGAATTTTCGCTAAAGGCACTTTTAGTTCCAGCAATTCCTTGTCCGGAACATCTGTACATATGGCTTCCATCCACGCGGGCATTATGTAATCCCATATCGATTGAGTTATAATGCCGTATGGGATCAGGCAGTATAATCTGAAGAAAAATAAAACAACTGGATTACGTTACAATTGCATAGAGTAAAAGTATGATTTATGTATGTGTAAGTGGTGTTTGTTGATTTAGTTTTATGGCATTATAATCCCGTCTTTGCGGGAAAATTTCAGTGTCAAAATCAAAATCTTTGTTTCATAAGTATGGAAATTCACTTGAAATCTTAAAAATTTATTAAACACTGCTCCTTTATACACATTTATGTTTTTCAACCATTATTTTAAATTATCTTAAGTGAAAAAAACCTAAAAGAACCAGGACCTTCACGCCAATTTTTTTTAATGCAAGGGCGCACAATCTATATTACCTTTTACGTAAAGTTTTTGGTTTAAATTACGTAGTAGTCATTGACTTACAGTAGTAGTTTGTTAACTTTGACTAACAACAAGAATCTGAATATAGAAGCGTAAGCTTACAGTAATTTGTGATTTTGAACTACCAATTTATTTTTGTATTGCATTAACGTTTGATGCCACTATTTTTCATGAAAAAATTACTGTTCTTAACATAAATTACGTTTCGCCATTTCAACTACTTAGCTATTTGTGGACCCTATTGCAAATGCGACTATGTACACAGGGGTATTATTTTTCATTTCTACGATTTTTCTATCACGCATCGCGTGAATAATTTCAAAAATCATAGCGACAGCTATTATACGAAGATATTTCATCCAAACAAAATAACGAACGAGTTTTGTCGCGATCTCTTTGCTTTATATTGTTTTGCAATTTTTTTGTTTTTAATTGTTTGATCGATTGTCAGGTAGTTTGCTGTATGGTTTATTTTTTTAAACCTTTGATATAAGTATTTGTGCTCATTTCTGTTCTATCTATCCCCATACAGTTCATATCAACCGTTAAGCTATCATGCGAAAAAGAGCAGCTTCCCTGGCGCGTAGCGTTCGTGGCAGCGACAACAGCCTCCTGAGTATAATTGCAAACATTTAAATTTCGTATTTGAATTTGAATTTGAATTTGGGTTTGGGTTTGGTCTGGTCTAGGTCTGGGTCAGGGTCTGGGTCTGGGTCTGGTCTAGGTCTGGGTCTGGATCTGGGCCTGGGTCTGGGTCTGGATCTGGGTCTGAATCTTGGTCTCGGTCTCGGTCTCGGTCTCGGTCTCGGTCTCGGTCTCGGTCT